AGCTCGTTACTAATATTGTTTTGGTTCGGAAATGTCTTGGATTTTCGTCGCAATCCTCAGCGCGACTTCTTGTTTGATATCTCGAGTCTTTCTTACAGGCCATTTTATGCTTTCGTTATCACCGTTTCTTCATGACGTCATGATTTATTGATTAAGGCTGTATTTACAGTGCATTATCCAGGCATTCTCGATTGAGGCTAAGGGGACTATGAGATTTTCCTAATATAATTGAAGGTCAAATTATTGCGACATAGGTCCAAATAACCAGTTAATTCTCTCAAAAGATTTCAAAGCTTTATAAAATATGCAAGTAACAATCTAAAAAAACTTATATTGAATAACCAGAAAAGAAAAAGATGTCTAGTTAAGACTTTTGCAACGATAAGAGAAATAATCCAAAATAGTATAATTATGTAGCTAAGTTGAATTCTAAAATTTAGCAGAATAAATGATAGTATATGGTGGCTAAGAAAGGAAGCTAGAATGATAATGTACAACCGTTTACTTCGCAGTTTTTTCCCAAAATAGTAGCAACATTTTTTGATAGTCTGCTAATACATGACTGAGAAGATTGCAACGGCTAGCTGCTAGCAAGTCTATTTTCTGCATACTATCAAGTTTGAGTTTGTCAAAGTTTGTCTTAGCCTTGCGAACCTGTATTAGAAACAGAGAAGTAAAGAAATAAAGTAAATTTAGGGGTTTAAAACAATTGACTACAAGATGTAAGTGCTGAAAGTATTGAATTAACGCCAAAATGGCAATTGCCAGCCACTAGCATGACTATTGAGAAAAGTCGGAAAGCAATAAGGCGTAAATCGTAGCATAAAATAGACTATTTTAGGCAAAGGGAAGTATAGATAAAACATTTATACTGTGAAAATATCATAAAATAAAGCGGTAACAAAGATTGACAAAATTTTGAGCAAGCGCTTTATAAATTAAGTATAAAAATAAAGAATATTTAATAATAATGCTATTATAATAATAAATCGTATTTAAGGCATGAGGAATGTCAAAGAACGAGAGGAATAGGGAGTGATAATTGTAAAGCGTACTCACCAGGTAAAATGAGTTTACTGAAAAGAATTTACCTGCGCTTGAACCCTTCTAAATCTATCTAATTGTTTAAGGGCATCGGGATCCAATTCTTCACTGACATTTTTCATCCAAAGAAGGGCACCACGATAGTCTGTCCTTGAACTTTCCATTCTTTGAATAGTAACATTCGAATCAGCAACCGCCCTATTTCTAAATGTCTCTATTTCGTTATGCAAACGTGAAAGAGGAGCTCTTAGAGCAAGCCTAAAGCAAGTATATAAACAACAGAATTACCTCTGTTGCGAAGAGTATATTAAGCTTTTGCCTACGGCAGCCATAATTTTGCCTGCTTGTGTTTTATCCTCGCTACCTCTATATTTTAAAAAGCGTCCTAGCTCGTTCTCTGATTGAGATAAGACTAAAATATTATATAAAGGGCATTAGTACACTTACGACAAATAACTTCTTCGTATCTTTCGGTGGTTAGACTGAGATCAAGGCAGGTTTTCTGAACAATTTTAAATAGCTATACATGACAGGATAAATAAAGCAACTAAAACCTCGAGTTTAGAATCAAGTTCGCAATCAGAAGCTACGAGATGCTCATCTTCTTTCCGGCCTAGCTTTTTGATAACAACCTGTTTTGTTGTCCAGTAGGCATTTTTTAGTTTGTGTGTTGTTGACTGATCACTCCGCAGAAAATATGGATCTCCAGTTGATCCATAATACGAGCGCCTTAAAGAATCGAAAATTATAACCCGAATAACGTACGACATTGGACAAAAAATCTATGCAGCAACACGAGAGATTGTGCCAACGGAATGGGCAACCAAAGTAGGCGCCTTGCGAAAGGTTATCAGGCATACGGTCATGAGGACTATATAAATAGGCATGCCAATAAGAAATCAATCCTTAAGTTTATTTATTATAAGTTAATAAGTTACCATTAATTATAATATTATGTCGAATTAGTGAATAATACGAGAACTCCTAGTCAAGAGATTCTTATATCTAGATGCTAAGCCATCTCCGATTTCTTGACCCATAAACATCTGAGGCGATTTCATGTTCTGATGAGTTCTTATTTATAGATCTACAAGGCTCCTCCACAAAGAGTCCTCAGCATGATCACAGATAATTATGATAACCTAATCTGCAGAGAAAATCGGATTAATGTAAAAGAAAGAAAGCGTCAGCCTCTTATTATGAATGGCTCTGACGTTCCATTTTCTCAGTAAATTGCCTATGTTTTTAAGGTCTAGTAAGACGGTATAGCCTGTAATCTGGTTTAAGTATCGCCAATATATTCGTTTTGTTGTAAATAGTTTAATAAATAGGTTTAATGTAAGGAATGGAGGTTAGAGGATGAGCGAAAATTACCTATATTTAATTGATGGACTTTAGAAGGAAGAGGTTGTTGGGCCACCGACAAAAAGTAGGCAACATATGAGTTGTGTTCAACCAATTACGTTTAAAGTGATGAGGGACTGGTAGTTTAATTTTGCCACAATAATATGAGTAGAGCTGTTGTTTTCCATTGAATTTCACATTGTTATGCTTTCTCAAAAGGTATTTAAAAATGACCTACACGAGGTCAAAACTGAAGTCAATCCTGGATGAAAACACCTTTTGGAAAAGCAAGGCTATGTGAAATTGAATCGTAAATATCCGCTTTACTCATATCGTTGTGGGAAAAATCAACTACCAGTCTTTCATCACCTTAAACGAAATAGGGTGAACATAACTCATATATATGATTTACTGGTAGTCTCGAAAGCCTACTCATTTACGAATAAAGAAGGCAATTCAACTTGTCATCTAAATTATGGTTCAAATAATACTCGCACTTAATCAACAATTCTGTTAAGCTCATCAACTTAACCAGGCACTATGAAGTATGTAATACCGGACACAATATTTCTTGCCTTACTAAACCTTGCTGATGCTCAACTTAAGTATTATCACTAGAGGTTTTGTGACTAAAATTACAATAATAATAACTCAGGACTTATCATCTTAAGTAGACGAGCGTTACGCCTGCGCGACCACATTAGCATCATTATAAAATTAACGGGCTGCAGAACAACGAGCACCATCATTCATTTTCTGTTGAGCTTTAACAATGAACCTCTCCTACGACCACCCCTACATGAAAGGAAAGCTGCAATAAGAGGCTATTTTATGGAAACTTTTAGCGTGTAAACAGTGAATAACTGTTATTTGTATTCACATTATATTTTAGGCACCAAAAACAGACAATCACTAGTAATTTTTTATACACAACCCAAAGCTTAATGAACCTTGAGGGCCATTGAAATCGCTTCGATTGAATTACTAAAGGGCTTACCAAAGTAATTATTAAATTACTAATATTATTTTTAGAAATCAATCTAATGATGGGATAAATAATATGGGACATTTTGCGGGAAGCGAATGATAAATTAAAATTTAGGCTGAACAAAAAAAGGAAAACGATTTGATACATTTTGCTTATAAACAAGAATAATACCAACAATGTTCCAGACTCAATGAACATTTTTACACCGATCATTAGACTTTCTAACTGCAATAGCTAGTTTTGTTAAGCTACTTAAGCAGCCAATTTCCAAGCCCTTTCGACACATAGACCACGTAAGAATATGACTAACCCTCGCTCTTAACCTCATGTCGACCAATTAAAGGTCGGCAACAAACCGTGCCTACCTCTTGGAGCAATCATGTGGCATGCATTACTACGCAACAACATTTCAGGCATAAAACTTACTAGTTAGACTGCAGCAGAATTTTCCTAGCTCGTTCTGTTTTACCTGAATTATGTCTACTGATTATAACTGTTAAATAAGCAATTTTAATTGACACTGCATATTATTTTTCACACAACATGTAGTGTAACACTACTGATTCACCTCGTACATAGATCACCCATAAGCTACACTGGCCTTAGACCTAATAGTTGTAAATTAGAGATAAAAGTTCCTATTTCCCACCCCGCATGTTTAAATTGCACCTTATTGTCAGATTTATCAGATATGTGAATTACTCACTTCGTGTCCACTATGCTTCCGGGAGATCCTATGTCTGTTCCAAGATGTGAGAAAGACTGAAGCTGACTTCTCCATTGAGATTTTCGTGTACCTGTCACTATATGTCAACATGTACCAAAGACAGTGATCCTTCTATAACAACGTACTCGAGAAAATTCCTTCAAATTTTCCACAGGGTTTAAAAATCAGCGTTTTATAACTTAAGTTTCAGATATATGAATTTCGAAAGTTTATGCGTCGCTACATGCTTTATATTAATTAAGAAATTTTATGGTTTATCTTCAAGGTTACGCGATCCCTGTTGGCTTCATACACTTAAGAATATATGGACGAAAATAGGCAAGCGGAACCATACAATATAACATGCTTCATAAAATTCAAAGACAAATGGAATATATAAATGATGCAGAGATAGTTGAAAATATGAAAACTAAGATTGTGAACTTTTTGTTCATAACTAGGTTTTTGACACCGTTAGTTTTTTATATATGATTATGAATCCTCAATTTGATCTCTGTCTCTTTTGCCTTATAAAAGTGGTTTGATCTTATTTCCCCAACTTGGTCGTGGTGCCAAAGCAACCTAGAAAAACGCATCTAGTTTAGGGTCCTATGTAATAGTATTAACTTTAGGTTCCAGCGTGGGACCATGGACAATATATATCCCCAGAAGATTCACATTTCATTTTAATTGAAGAGGCGAGTAAAAGTGATTCAAAAGCTTGATCCCCGGAAACAGAAGAGGGATTACATCTGAGCTGTGACCATAGATTTGCGCTAGTTAGTCCTCAGCTCAGGGTCTCACGACCCAGATGAAACCTTGCCAAGCTTTTATGCGTCATGTGACGGACATCGTCAGAGCAGGATACCATGTTTACCGCAATTCTCTAAACACAAAGAAAGGTAGCCGACTGCAATCCTAACAACCATTAATAGTATTAAAAAGACATTCTTTTTTATTCGAGTGCATGAGGAATAGATATCAGCAGAAGACGATGGCTAGTTACCGTTGTACTGCAACCATTTGGCCTTAATACGATGTTCAGGTTGACGTAGTCCACGAGTCATATTCCCTCGTTTCGCGGGAAAAGCGGCAAAGCTTTCGTCCATTATATGGTAAAAATCATCAGATATTGAACGCATTCTTGTAAAAGTTTCAATTTAGCACTAGTGAATAAGGCTCCCTTTCTCTCTCTTACGTCATATATACAACAATAAGTGTAAACAAAAAATATATATATAATTATTTGGCTAAATCCATTGTATATTGGTCACG